CACTTTGAACCACGTTTTACTTATGGGTTATGATAAATTATATGTGTGTATCAGTGAATAATTGATTTATTATAGAAGTGTTTAGTGTTTGATTCACTTTGAACCACGTTTTACTTATGGGTTATGATAAATTATATGTGTGTATCTATGAATAATTGATTTATTATAGAAGTGTTTAGTGTTTGATTCACTTTGAACCACGCTTTACTTATGGGTTATGATAAATTATATGTGTGTATCTATGAATAATTGATTTATTATAGAAGTGTTTAGTGTTTGATTCACTTTGAACCACGTTTTACTTATGGGTTATGATAAATTATATGTGTGTATATATGAATAATTGTTTTGTTATAGAAGGGTTTAGTCTTTGATTCACTTTGAACCACGCTTTACCTATGGGTTATGATAAATTATATGTGTGTATCTATGAATAATTGATTTATTATAGAAGTGTTTAGTGTTTGATTCACTTTGAACCACGCTTTACTTATGGGTTATGATAAATTATATGTGACTAAACACTTCTATAATAAATCAATTATTCATAGATACACACTTTGATTCACTTTGAACCACACTTTACTTATGGGTTATGATAAATTATGTATGTGTGTATCTATGAATAATTGATTTATTATAGAAGTGTTTAGTGTTTGATTCACTTTGAACCACGCTTTACTTATGGGTTATGATAAATTATATGTGTGTATCTATTTTTAGAAATCAACTCGCCCCGTATTAGCACAAGTGGCAAACCCTTACCGAGTGCTAGACTGGTCAGTTCTTGGTTGCTGGGTAGTAAGGACAATCACCCACAAGGTCATCTGTCAGTTTTATCAGTAATGTGGGCAAGCTTTATATTAGATGACATCAGCCATACAGCCAAGTTCACAGGTGAGGTTTTATTTATAATCAAGTAAATTTGGTTGCTTAGTAAACACTTGAACTTTATCACTTGCATACGGTAGAATGATGATATTATTCTTAGGGTGAGAGAAATAATGGTTTGGTTGCTAAGTAAACACTTGAACTTTATCACTTGCATACGGTAGAATGATGATATTATTCTTAGGGTGAGAGAAATAATGGTTTGGTTGCTAAGTAAACACTTGAACTTTATCACTTGCATACGGTAGAATGATGATATTATTCTTAGGGTGAGAGAAATAATGGTTTGGTTGCTAAGTAAACACTTGAACTTTATCACTTGCATACGGTAGAATGATGATATTATTCTTAGGGTGAGAGAAATAATGGTTCTACTTCTAAATAATTGCACGATAAGAATATAAGTGGAAGACAGATATGTGATCAACATTTACAGGATTTTTGTCTTTCTATTGTTTACACGCAGGATTCCGTTCCACGAACTTGAAATGCTGCAACATTACAAAAGAACTCGAAAACCCTGAATGTCTTCCCATCGATGTATCACCTGACGACGTCTATTATGGTAAATACAACCAAACCTGTCTTGAATACGTTCGCTCGGCCACAGTTTTAAGAGAAGATTGTACCCTCGGCCCCAGGGAACAAATTAACCAAGCCTCATCGTTTTTGGATGGGTCTGTCATCTACGGAGCGACGACTGAAGCGGGCCACAGTCTGCGAGTCTTTCAAGATGGTTTACTTAAAACCCATAAAAACGAGGAAGGGGAAGAAATCCCAACAGCTCGTATATGTTCAGAAAATTGCTGGCACGAGATCAACAGTGCAACTCCTTGTCTGGATCCTCGTTTGTGGTCAGATATTGGTAGCATGGGACTTTATGTTGTATGGGTTCGTGAACACAACCGTATCGCTCGGGTTCTCAAGCGGCTCAATCCGTCTTGGAATGACGAAGTCCTCTACCAGGAAGCCCGAAGGATTGTCATTGCCGAGCTCCAACACATTACCTACAGCGAATTTATTCCCGTCTTTCTTGGCTTTGAAACTGTTTCTAAGTATGGCCTTAGTTTAAGACAAGGAGACTTCTTTCGGGAATACGATCGTGAGAAAATAGCTGGAATATCAAACGCTGTAGCCGTAATGCTGAGAGGGGTCTTGCTGTCGGTCGTGCCGGAGATTTACGAACTGATTGAACCGGAAACTCTGGAACACATGGGTGATGTATCGTGGACTACGACGCTATTTCATTCTTCCAGTCTTGTCTATACTTCGAAATTACGTCACCTAATGATGGGGACTTTGATACAGAGTGCAATGTCTATGGATGTCAATGTCAATAATCAAGTGTTATCCAGGAACTCCAGCGGAGGTACTAAAATCACGATCTATTTATCTTTTTCTTTAAAATAAAACACAAAGACAGTTCAACAAAACACAGCTCTACAAAAACACAAAGAACACAGCTCTACAAAAACACAAAAGACACAGTTCTACAAAAACACAAAGAACACAGCTCTACAAAAACACAAAAGACACAGTTCTACAAAAAT